TTACCTATCATGCCGGTAACGTAGCCAGTCTGCTGCAGCACCTCTGCCAAGGTGGTCTCAGTGAGCGGGAGGCCTCCCACAGAGGTGACTGCAAAGTTGTGGGTAACTCCATTGCGAAGGCCAAGCCGGCCGGTGAGCAGGGAGGCACGGGAGGGCGAGCAGGTAGAAGCCGCGGCGTGGAAATCCGCAAACCTGCACGGAAAGGAAGAGGCCTGATTAGAACCCCACAGACCACAGGAGACCTGGAGATGGCCCACTCAATGCCTGAGACCAGAGGGAGACAAGGGAGGGAGGAAGGAAAAGAGAGAAAGACAGGGAACCCACTGGAGCAGAATTGGGGTTGGGAGGGAAGAGGTCTTTTCTTAAAGGAGGAAGGGACAGGTGGGCTCCCTGAGCACCTTCACTAAGACTGGCTCCTTTCCAACAGCATCACTGAGAGGCCGCTGATGTGGAAGCTGCCAAAAGTGTTAGGACTCAGTATGTCCTAAAGAGATGTGAGGAGCCATGCATGAGTGGTGAAAATGCTTAAACATACCAGCTTCATCCACCCAGGGTGCCTCGGAAGAAAGACCTGGAGACCTCTTTCCAAAAAACAGCCATTAAAAACCCTATAGCGCAGAGTTCTGCAGTGACGCACACGGGGCTGCAATGAGTTAATGTTGAGAGACTACAGGAGAGCATTGTGAAACCATGCCTGTGGGGAGCAGGTGGAAGAGAGTAGGTGTGTTCACCAGAAATAGAACCTTCTAGGCTAGGCCATGAGCAGAGCCTGCAAGGTGGTGGCCTCTCAGTGTCCTCTGTCAGCCACTCTTGTTCAATGACTGTGGGAGCAGCTACTTTCCTTGTTGCCTGAGCGTCTTACAGAAGAAGGTTGGGAGACGGGGAAACAGCGAAACACACACAGGTCCCATCAGAGCTGGACTGAAACTTGATTGGCATGGATTCTACTCAGAAGTTATTTCCACAGCAGTCCCTCTCTGGCTGCCAGGACCATCTGGAAACTAGAACCTTAGGAGTCTCTAAGGCTTCTGGGTCCCAGTGATATCCCCAGCCTGCTTCCAGAAAACTGGGCCTAGAGCCCCTGCCCTTCAGGTGACCTTGGCATCTGCAGAGGTGACAGTCTTGGCCAGGCACTGAGTGACACAATGGAATCCATTCTTCTCTTCTTTTTTTCATATCACACCAAGTTAAGAGATTATAAGGGGAAAACGTCTGTTTGACAACCTTCCAGACTGAAGAAAAATGCCCAGAGAGTCTCAGTAAGCAGCAAAGCTCCACTGAGCTGGGTGCCAGCTAGTCTGGTGGGCTTGAGTGAGGAGCTCAGTTATTTATAATTGAGGGGGCCGTTCCCTGTTTTATTCGCTTAGGCTAAAATTACCGCACAGCAGCCACGAGCAGATGCTGTGACAGATGTGAAAGAAGCAAAGGTACAGTCACCATCCTCAATGAACGGACAGTTCCGTTTTCAAACAAAAGTCTTGTGAAATAAGTTCCATTTTACCACTAAGCGTTATGATCATTTATTGAGTGCCTCTTAGCACCACCAAGGAGCCCTGAGGGTTGAGCCACAAGGTTCCTACCCACCAGGTGCTCTGTGAAGAAGGATGAGGCAGTATCCTCCCATAGAGTATATGTACAGCCTTGGAAATCTTAGGATACTCTCTGAGTTGGAATCGACTCAATGGCAGTGGGCTTGTTGGTTGGTTGAACCCACCCATCCATCAGTCTGTCCTACCGTGGTGGCTTCTGTGTCGCTGTGATGCTGGAAGCAATGCCGTCAGTATTTCAAACATCAGTAGGGTCGCCCATGTTGGAGAAGTTTCAGCAGAGCTTTCCAGACTAAGACAGACTAGAAGGAAAGACCTGATAATTTACTTCTGAGCTTTAGTCGATGGAAGCCCAAGGGGTCACAATGGAGCATGGTCTGACATCGAGCTGGATGATGAGCCTCTTAGGTTAGAAAGTGCTCAGGATACAGTGGTCACAACAATGAACTCCAGTGGACCCATGAGTCTGAAGACAGCTCAGGAACCTGCAATGTTTCATTCAGTTGTAACAATGCCTAGCGATTCTGAGACAACTCAATGGAAACTAACAGCTATAAGCGTGCACTTTATACACATTAATGCATCTAAGCCCCGCACAGCCCTAAGATGTTATGTGGTACTGATGCTGTTAGGTGTTCTTGAGTACATTTCAACTCACAGCATCTAAGCCCAGCACAGCCCTGAGATATTAGTGCTACTGATGCTGTTCAGTGCTGTTGAGTTCATTTCAACCTACAGAACAGACTCAAACGGCCCCCAGAGGGTTTCCTAGCCTGTAATCCTCTTCTTGACATTGAGATGTAATCCATACCAAAGGCTGTGGTCTTTGATCTTCATCAGTAAATCTTTTAAGTCCTCTTCACTATCAGCAAGCAAGATTGTATCGCAGGTTGTTGATGAGTCTTCCTCCAATCCTGATGCCACGTTTTTCTTCATATAACCCAGCCTCTCAGATTATTTGCTCAGCATACAGGTTGAATAAGTATGGTGAAAGAATACAACCTGTCACACACCTTTCTTAATTTTAAAACATTCAGTGTTCCCCATGTTCTGTTTGAACAACAGACTCATAGTCCAGGTACAGATTCCTCATAGCACAATTACGTGTTCTGGAATACTCATACTTCGAATGTTACCCATAGCTTCTCATGATCCACACAATTGAAAGCCTTTGAGTTGTCAATAAAGCACAGGTAAACATCTTTCTGGTATTCCTTCCATCTTCCCTTGATGCTTTCTGCGCCATTCAATAATTTGCCCAGAGAATCTTTCAATAGTGAATGTCAGGGCTTGAAATTTTCTTCAGTTCCCCCAGCTTGAGAAACGCTGAGCGTGTTCTTCCCTTTTGGTTTTCTGATTCCAGATCTTTGCACATTTTGTTGTAATATTTGACTTTGTCTTCTTGAGCTGACCTTTGAAATTTTCTGTTCAGCTCTTGTAGCTCCTCATTTCTTCCATTTGCGTTAGCATCTCTATGCTGGAGAGCAAGTTTCAGTGTCTCTTCTGACATCCATTTTGATCTTTTCTTTCTTTCTTGTCTTCTTAATGACTTTTTGCTTTCTTCCTGTGAGGTTCTTGATGTCATCCCACAACTCTTCTAGTCTTTGGTCTTTAGTGTTTAATATAACAAATCTGTTCTTTAGATGATCTCTAAATTCAGATGGGATAGAGTCAAGGTCATTATTTTGGCTCTCGTGGACTTGTTTTCATTTTCTTCAGCTTCAGTTTGAATTTGCATATGAACAATTGAGGATCTGTTCCACAATCTGCCCCTGGCCTTGTTTTGGCTGGTGATATGGAGATTTTCAACCGTCTGTTTCCACAGATGTAATCAATTTGATTTCT